TCATCTCCTACTGATACATCTAACATTCTCTTTCTGTCTTCATCAGAACACGATGACAATAAAGTGCCGACAATTTTATCACGACCATAAAAGCAAGCCAAACAAAGTGGAGTTTCTCCATTGTTGGTCACTTTAAAGAAATCACCTTTATTTTTAATCAGAAGATCAACAATTTCTTCATTATCCTGCATACAAGCAGTATGTAGTGGTGTACGACCTTCATTATCTGCTTCATCAACCATCACTTTATCTTGAGACAACAACATCTGAACAGCATGGTAGTTACTGCTCCGACAGGCTAAGTTGAGTGGTGTGCAACCAGCCTCATCTTTAGCATTAATATCAACACCATCATCAGAGACTAACAGCTCTAGCATTGAATTGAGTGCTAATACTTGACTGTCCTGTGTCTCTTGATTGGGTAATCGATAACCAGCAGCCCAATGGAGTGCAGTCCGACCTAGTTCTGAATGCCTGTTTGGATCTGTATGCATGATATAAAACACATAAAATGATACTTTAATAATTTATTTGATTTATACTGCCATAATTAATTCGTTCATTTCCAATACTCTTTAATTTAGAATGCTTGTGTGACTGCATAAGCCATAAACTGTAACCATAAATGTAACTATACTCCTTGCCATGCATGCCCAGACATACATGTCCCAACAGACAAATAAGTGCTTTGTCCAATTAACAATAGATACTTAATAGACTTAAAGCATTACTTCAGAATCTGAGCTTGGAATCACCTCAAACTTTCTAAACAGCATAAAGACATCAATATGTATCAGAAACTGTAACAAAAATTGGAATGATTTTGGGGATAAGCTTTGGGTATTTTTCAAAATTTGGTCATTTTTACAACTCTGTGACATATAGTCACGTCGATAGATGCCAACAAAAATTGTATGCTAACCAAAGAATCCATACAACACCAACAACTACATGTATAAGGAAACTAGTCCTTTATTATTTACAAATGCATCAACTACTAGCTCTCTGATGAATGAACACTGATGCAATGACTAAAGACTAAAAGCATAATAATAATTATAATTTTTAACAATAATAATAATAATGATGATGATGATGATGATGATGATAATAATTATTATTATTATATCACTTACCAGCACCATCTTTAAGCAAATTGTGCATCTTTTCGATATCATACGAGTATTTAAAAAATTCACTTTCGGATTCTTGAGAAAGATTACTGCAACTACCATCATTTGAATCATCAGGAACTGACTATGTGAGAAAGAAAATTATATTCACACTTATCAACTTCAATATTCATTATGTATAAAATAGTGTGAGTTATATATTTTACACTTGATGATTGGTTGATTAGTCTACCCATACATATTATAGAATATCAATACTTAACTAAACCAAAAACAGTTTCCAATTGCCGTAGATCTAATCAAATTTGCTATCTAGTCTAAGGCAGGAAATGACTGTTTACATAAACACCAATAATACATGATATGGATCATATATACATGTAATACAGCATGCAACCAAGTTGTAAATTGAATTCCTGTGGTCAGAAGTATGTGCATAATACTTAATGAATGACACAGCAAACTTTGAAAGCAGAGGTCTTAACTACTAATCAATACACCAAATGATTAGATGTAGTAGGAGAATAGAAACAGATCGGTTTAATCACTAGTAGTACTACTACTTCAACCATTAAAACTGAGTAAACTAGAGTCTGTTTTCTGTTTGTAATACTGTAGATCTATTATTCTATACAAAAGCCACTTGACTAAAGTATTATACTATTATTAGTATTAAAAATTATTAGAACAGCTAATGTAGCTCTATGCTTGTGTTTTAGCATACTTGCTGTGGAGAAGTATCACTTATGTTGATCAATGCTCGTCTTTCCATCTCCTTGCTTTGAATACCCTCCAATTCAATAGATGATATGGTCACTTCCCCTGAATCAACCATCTCCTAGACTGCTATGAGAGCACTACACAACACGCAGTGTCAGCTCAATCTTAGTCTCGCTGCCAGCTAGATTACAACTCTTGAACTCTTTCTCTACTGCTTTATTGAGCACCACCTACCAACTTCCTTTCAAGCACGTGAAAACACGTGGTCTGAACCAGGAGTTCAGAATCAGGGCTGAAGAAGACATGATGTTTTCAAATTTTGCCATAGCTTTAAAAATTTCAAATGTGCCTCTTTGGGAAAGCTTTTTAATAAGTGTTGGCTCAATTGCCTAAGTATGCAAGGTTAGTGAAGGCTGGTGCCAAGGGCAAGCCAATTAAGGCTATGATAAACTTAGCCAAAAACACCTCTACCAAATTGGATTTAATACATGATCTAAGATATACAGACACCAGTTAATGATGGCATGGTATGCGTGTGCACACATTATAGCATTTAGATCTATTTTAGTAAAACAAATTCAATGCAGCATCATTTCTTTGCTGTAAACTCTGACCTGCAGCTATGAACTGTGTGACCTTTGAACAGTATAACTATTGCAACATTAACATTGTACTTTACATTTAGATTAACTATTAGCTACTAATACTTGAATTGTCACAATAATTTATATAAAGTTTACAATACTTGAGTTGGGTATTTCAAAACCTCTATAAAAATTGGCAGAGGAACGAGCAGCCCATCTCAAACCAGCCAAGTACAAATTTTCAACGAATTTGAGATTTGAAATCAATATAATATTAAATTTGAGAAACATATCAAGAAAAAAACATAATAATAATTAATAATAATAATGATAATAATAATAATTACAGTTATTTCAATAAAATTCGTTAAATTAATGAAGAAGAAAGTGATGAAATTAATGATAATTCTCATGATGTCATTATGATGTAATATCGTACAAAAACACGCCCACATAAGTGAACATGATCAGAAAGATTAGGAGAGAGAGAGAGTAAGAGAGAGCTTATCGCAGCAAACGTTTGATCGTGTGGTCGGATTGTTACAATAACTAAATGAGATTGTGTGGTTTCCTCTGCCAGTGAATGGCATTGAGAAGTTCATTGATGTGTGGTGTAGAGGGACTGATCCTGATTGAACTGTCTGGGAACTCCATGACATAGTATAACTACAAAAAGAGAAGTAGCATTGGTTAGAATTATCAAAAGTACAATTGCAATTATTAAACTCTCTCTCCTTCCATCCCTTTGCTGGCCTCCATTAACAGTCAACATATTAGCTTCTCTCTCCCTCCCTCCCTCCCTCCCTCCCTCTCTCTCTCCCTCTCTCTCTCTCTCTCTCTCTTACCTAAATCCTTCCGTTAATGAACAGTTCCCAGTGCTGATATCAGTACTGAATCTCACCGTTCTAACTCCGTTAGATGATGATTGAGTGCTGGTACTAGATGCACTGGTAGAGTTTGATACATTTGCATTGCCCCATAATATCACAGGACAACATATTCTATCAACTAAAAGGGAGAGAGAGAGAGAGAGAGAAATGAAAGTGTGATAGGGACAAAAAACAAAGTGAATTACATTAAAGTGTATTGTAAATTGAATAAGAACATAAGTATCTGGATGCATAAGTACATATATGTACATGCATGTACATCAATGCGTATAATGATTACTTGTTAAAGTACCAATGTATAGGAACAACTAATTATTATTATTATTATTTTAGTTCAATAGCTGAAGTATCTACCGTTGTATGTACTGATTTTAGGCTTCTTGATACCATAATAGTGCGAAATTTTCGAGGGCTGTACATTTTGTGGTTTTTTGAAGAATTGCAAAAATTACTTCCAAGAAAATCAATATTATTAGGGCACAAGATGGCAGACGGTATAAATTTGCAAAAATAAATCCACAAAATAGATTTTAAGGCAAATTTGCAAAATTTAGAGCCCTCAAAAATTTTGCAAAAAAAAAATTAAAAAAAATTTAAAAGACCCTATGCTAGTCTGCTGGATTAGCTCTACAATGACTTACTTGGTTGAACAGTGAATACTGATACAATGGAGTATGTGTAGCCATATTGATCATGAGCCTCTAATCTGAATGTATAATAACCAGGAGGGAGTGATGAGGTACTGAATGTATATGAACCATTACCTGGAGAAGAGAGGGAGGGAGAAAGAGGAGAATTGAGAAGAGAAGGACACATAATAAGATCAAGTAAAGTTTGTTTTTCATAAATGG